CGTGCTGGGGAGCTGCAGCCCTGTGGTGCCTCCAGGCAGATAGCTGAGCATCTCATCATTGTAACTGGACTCCAGACTGATGATCTCATCAATGACATCATCAATCTAGGGGAAGAAATAAACATTGTACAGGGTGAGAAGAACCAGAAGGGGAGCCTAGGGGTATAGGTAGCTGAGTGGTAGAGCACTTGCCTAGCAAAATACTGGAACAAGGACATGAGAGGGTTGTCTACAGCCTCCTACCTCCTTCTCTGAGCTGGACCCAATGGTGAGCAGTGCCATGGGGCTGTTAGGAGCACTGCCTGTGGGCCCAGTGGTATGGGCAGCCTCAGGAGCAGGCAGTGGCTGGGCACTCGTGGGTCCCGGCGGTGGAGTGAGGGCCTGGGAAGCCAGCTTGGGCCCAAGTGTGGTGGACAGGTACTGTTTCACTTGCTGCCGGCGCGCTTGCTGCAGATGGTAGCGTGTTGGGTTCTCCAGGTGGGTCTGAACCTTGAGTACCTCCCTTGGCACCTGAGCAGGTGGTGGACGGCTCAATGTGTGGCCCCCAGCAGAGACGCCAACCACAGAGATGGCTGGAGAGGCAGGTGCAGGGCTGGGGAAGGGAGTGGCTGCGGCTTGTTCCCGACGCTCACGCCTCTCCTGCTCTTGTGCCTGAGCCCGCATGAGCTGCTGCCGCAGCAAGACCCTCGATGAAGATGATGACGTCATGGCAGGGGTCCTGGAGCCCCCTGGAGCGTAGGGGTAGGGGTTGGCTTTTGAGCTCGTAGAAACTGTCTGGATCAAGGATGTTTTCTAATTCAATGTCAGCAACAATCCCAGATTCCGGAAGCAGAGAGTTCAGGAGTTAGTGGAAGTTTCAGTCTATACTCAGCTTGCTCCGAGGCAGAGAGAAGCAGCTCAGGTCTGAGGGAGCGAAGACTAGAGAGTCCAGACAAGAAATTAATTGTCCAGTAATCACCTGCAAAGGAGCTCACCCTGGCTGAAGTAGCAAACACAAATGGAAATAACAGCAGAATAATAATTCCCATTATGCTCCACAATAACTCAAATGGACCTGGCAATGTGGATGAGAACAGTGTTAACTGCGGTCTGAACTTGAATGAATTAATAAATGCTGATGGGATTAGTGGAGCACAGCTCCCAGTGTTTCTGGATGATTGATTTGTAGATCCCAAACACAAGAAGAAAGACCCAGCTTGGATGTGTGTGGCAACACCCAAAAGCCTGTTACCTGGATCAAACAAAATGGGAATGAAGAAGGAAGTATACCCAGCTTCAGTTTTTGAGAAGTGCTTTAGTCTTCACCGTGGCCTTTGGATGTTTGTCTCCGTTTCCTTCAGGCTTCCAGCACAGACCCTTCGGCTGCCCCAGGGACTTGCACCACACTGTGCAGTGGGCTCCAGGCCTTTGACTTTTGACTGGATTCTCCAGCTTTCCAGTGCAAGATGGGCCTTTTGCATCCTCTACCCCCTACTCCACAGGTGGCCATTGTGAACCTACCTTGGAAAGCCCTTATATATCATATACATATATTTTATAATAAATCTGTTCCTCTGGTGAACTCTAAATGATACCAGGAGTTAAGAAAATTCTCATGTTCCCACATTGCTGATGGCAGTGTTCATTAGAACCATCACATTGAAACAAATGTTTCAGAACTTCTAAAAATATTAATGTAAATCTTCTGGAAGAGAGAATGGATAGAACGCTTAGAGATGTAGGTATAGGCAATGAGTTCATGAACAAAACTCTTCATGATTTCAAGGGGAAAAGCTACAAAGAATCAGTAACTAGAATCTCATCTTACTAAAAAACTTTTGCACAGAAAAAGGAATTATCAGTGGGGTGAAAAGATAATCCACAGAGTAGGAAAAAGATTTTTCCAGTTGCTCTTCAGGCAATGGGATAATATGTAGGGCATATAAAAATATATAGAATATATAAAGAACATATAAAAATCAGATTCTCCAAATTTAAAGACCTAATCCAAAAATTGGCATCTAAAATGAATAAACACTTCTTAGACGAAGAAAAACAAATGGCAAATAAATATATGAAAAAATGTTCAGCATCACTAATTATTTTAGTGATGCAAAATAAAACAGCTGTGAGATTCCATCTCACCCCAGAGAGAATGGCTAACATCAAGAAATCAACCAAATGCTGTTGATTTGAGTGCAAGATGGTGCCACCATTGTGGAAATCAGTGGATAGTCCTCAAAATGAGAGGTTCCATGAAACCTACCTAGTCCCCTTCTTGGCTTTTTCATGAAAGAATTAAAAGCATCACATCAGATCCATATATGCATATTCATGTTGGTAGCAGCATAGTTTATAATAGCTAAGTCTTAGGAACTACCCAAATTCTCATTAATTGATTAATGGATAAAATTGTTGTAATACAATTGAGTACTACTTAACCAAAGAAGGATAAATGAGAGACATTCATAGCAGAATGGTTGGACCTTGATACCATTCTCTAGTGAAATAAATCTCTCTCTCTCTCTCTCTCTCTCTCTCTCTCTCTCTCTCTCTCTCTCTCTCTCTCTCTCACACACACACACACACACACAAATACTGCATTGTTTCTTTGGTGTGAGAAACTGAAAGTGTAAATAAGAACCAAAATATACATTTATTATAAAATAAGATGAAATTGTTCAAAAGGAAAGAGGAATGAGGAGAAAAAAATGAGAAAAGATGGATAACATAGAAACAAACTTTTGGAAGTATGGAGCAGAGGGCTTGAAGGGGATGAGAGGAATGGGGAAAAAGAGGAATGAAGAAGTGTCATGTTGTATCAATCTATATCATATCATATCAAGGTATATCGTGATAGATCACAGTAATCATGTGTTTCTAAATTGTACTAATAAACATTAAAAAACTTAAATGTGTAGATTCTTTTCAGCTATACATAGTCTCTTAGTTTATACATAACTAAATTTGTAGGTATGTGCAGTAAATTTCATGTATAAGAATATTTTTGACGACATCATTCGTAGTAGTACCCAATACCACTCAAAAGTGTAATTGATACATTAAGTTTTCATAGGATGGGCTACAAAGTTGCAGTGAAAATGTATAAATGAATTGCTGATTCATACAACATGGAGGAATGTCACAGATCAAATATTTAGAGAGCACAGCAGATGTCATGAAAGAAAACACAGACTGTGATTCTGTCTATACATTTCCACAAAAGGCATATATTATCTGTAGTGAGGATACTGAAGACAGTTCTCCTTGGGGAGCTGAAGGAGGTAATTGGAGGGTCATGTGGTGGTCCATATGTCTGTTCATTTTGTGAGAAGGAATCGGGCTTTAGAGTTGAAATTTTCTTATCTGTTATAGTTCAATAAAAGTTCACTCAAAAAAAGAATGTTGTGGTACTGTCCTGCTTCAAGGTTGTGTATGGTTAGAATTTTGGACTTACATGTAAACATAAGAAGTATATAATTCTTTATGCTTATTTTTAAAATATATTCTAATTCTTAAATGTTTTTCATCATATTCTGTAGGGACTTAAAGTTCAACAATCAAAAATTTTACTTGATGAAAAATACCTGTTCCATGTTATGCCTAAGATGTTTGATATTCAAACAGATAGTGAGGTTAAGCTCAACAGCCTAGGTTGTATGGTAATAGCAATAAGTTTCTCTTCTGGAGGGTTAACAACCTAAGTTTTCAGACCAAAATTAGAGAAAAAGAAGGGCCACAAGGACATCCAACATTTTGGCCCTAGTCTTCCAAGGTCCATTAAGACTCAGGACATATGAGAACTTGTACTGTAACATCATGTAACTCAGTAGTGTCCCAAATTTTCTGATCAAGGAGATTATGGGGCCAAAGAGGAAAGTGATCACTGATGTAGCGTGTGCCTAAGGAGAGTCACATGGAGAGAAGACATTCTCTCAGGCTTTCACAGAGAGCACATTGGCCAAGCAATGTCTGTGACTCATCCACATGGCTGACACTGACAAAAAAACAAACAAACAAAAACACTAAAATTTGTGTGGGATAAACAAACTAAGAAGGAATCTTACCAGTGGATTTTTGTTTTTTTGCAGTATTGAGGACTGAAGCATGGCTTTCACATTAAGAGATATCCCCAGATCCTTTTTTGTTTTTTATTTGAGACAGGTCTCACTAAATTACTAGGTGCCCTAGGCTGGGCTGAAGCTAGCTCCAACTTGCTAATGTCTCAGCCTCCCAAGGTGTTGGGATTACAGACACAGTCTAACTGTCCCAGCTTCTTATCAAAGAATTCTTACAATAATTGATTTACAGAGTGTGACTTTAAAATTTTCATATTGTAACTGAATTATTTTGCAAAGTGAAAATTATCAAATACTTACTTAAATATCTCCAGTGATGCAGTTAATAACATGCCAAAATCCACTTAAAAAATAGTTATGATCCCTGTAACTTTTTATTTGGTTTGGCCTTTTTTGTTTTTGCATATAAACAAACTAGAAAAGGTACATTTATAGACTGTATGGAAAAGCTTTTTGTTTAGAAAATGGAATCAATCTATTATAATGCTTTCTCATTGTTTCTGAATTGTTGTTATATAATAAAGTAATAATAATGAGATTCACAATTCCATAAAACCTACCATGGACCAAAGTACATAGTTTCTTTGTTTTGAGAGAATTTGATCTTGATTTATCACTACCATAACTCCATAAAGAAGTGTTGGAAGTCGGGCATGGTGGTGCATGCCTATAATCCCAGCTCTTAGAGGCTGAGGCAGAAGGATTGTGGTGAGTTTGAGACCAGCGTGGGTTACAGTTCAGGGTCAGCCTGACAGCATAATGAGAACCTGTCTCAAAGACACACACACACACACACACA